GATTCTATGATTCTATGATTCTATGAGAGGAGCTGGAAACATCCAAACCTGCTACAGCCTGGATGCCCTGGGAGGATGGTGAGCTCTAGCCTGATTTGGAGACAGTGCTCCTGAGAACACTACAGATGTACCATAAAGCTTCTTCTTCTCTGTCCTGTGGGTACTGGTTGTAAGAATTTGGTGGAGCACATGGAGGTTGGGGGACCAGGAGTCTGGCAGTGCCAATTCACACCTCCACCCTAACTCACAGGAGGTGGGAAAACTGGAGAAAAACTCAGCAGAATAAGGAAGTGCCACCTCTTGTGCACGCTGCTTGGACAAATTAGCACAAAGCAAACTCCTTGGGGAGTAAAGGGGTGTAAAGGGCTCAGCAGAGGAGTCAAACAAGTAGGGAACATGGAGCAGCGGAGCTCTCTCAGCATGAATACATGAGAGCTCCTAGTATTTATATGGCTTTACAGTTTCCACAATAACACAATGGAGAAATACCTGCAAGCTCAGTAGCCTGCTGCAATGCACACACATCACATCCAATGAGAGTCACAATGAGACATCAATCAGACAATAATGGGGAGAAGAACTTCTCCAGAAGAAACAACCCTTCCCGTCCTGTGTGCAAGACACCTCCCAAAAGACCCGCACCGACACAACCTTGCTAAGGATGATGTTCAGCCGCTCAGATTCACAGTCCACCACCACCAGCCTTTCCTTCTTCTTCTCCAGCTCCTGGAACAGCATGCGGTAGCCCTCTTCTGTCGTCGTGAGGATGTTGACAGCTGTCACCTGCCAGTTCTTCTCGGCTGCGGTGTCCAGCACTTTCTGCAAGACTGACAACCCTACGACAGGAAGAGAGGGGGAAGAGGACAGCAGAGGGAAAACCAGGTTTTACTTATGCAATGGCATCTTCCCTTCCTTCTGACAGCCTGCATAGCTGCCTCAAGCCAGGCTGGATACAGCATCACAAGGGTGCAGCAGAGCTGCAGAGAGCAGTTAATACTCTAGCATCTTACCGAAACACAGCTAGGCTAGAATTAATGACTCCTGCTTTTTCTGTCCTAGCACAGGAAAATAGGATGATTCCAGGCCTAGTTTTCCTTTGTAATCGGCAGATCAGTCTCGTTGATCAAGCCCTGCTGTGGGACTCAGATAAGAGCTCTAATCCCCATCTTCTTGCCTGTCACTGCCCCAATCATTTGATTTCTCTCAGCTCCAGTTCCCTTCTTGTCTTTGATCTGTTTAGGTTATGTGCTCCTAGGGTTAGGGACACCCTCAGCAATCACAATACACAATCATATTCAGCATCCCTGTCTCTCTCGGCAGCGTCTCATCAGAAAACTTAATTATTTTTAAAAAGATCTTGCCTAAATTACATGCACAGCCTTCCAGAGGAGATACACGTAGTCAGCACCACTCTGGAGTCCTGCTAGACAGCCCTGCCTACTGCAGTCCTTTTGGGATATTCAGCATGCCCATGCCTCGTGACAACAGAAAGCAGGGTGGGATGCTTTTATACCTTCTCCTTGTCTCTTAACGTCACCCTGTCTCTGCAAGGGCTAATGATAACTTTCAGGACAGGGCTGTGAATCACCCTTACCTCTGTGCTGTCCTCCACAAGTTCATTTTGCTCTCAGCCTCCAAGCCTAGAGCTTTAAAGGCATCTGAGAGCTGGGGAAACTGAATCACAGAGCAATGAGCTCACTAGCCCTATTTGGGGTTTAGAACGTTAGATAATATCTTCCAAGAACCCAAGAAAGGTTTTCTTTTTTTCATATAGAAAACTAACATGCACTAACACAGGGAATATGGGTTTTTCCAAGCTACCTGCCAGAAACACACACATATCACAACTGGATGTGGGTCAGGTGAGATCTGAGCAGCTGTTTGTTCACGTTTATAAACGTGGGACTTGGCATCCTTGAGATTGACAGACCTATTCAATATGGACCTATTCAATATAAACAATTTCCCACTTGAAACTCAAACTTCTTGCACATTAAATATTTCCCTTGTGTTTATGGCGTTCAGACCTGACCCTATGAACACAGACATGTCAGGCTAATGCTCCATCTAGATCAATGCCCACCTTCAGCAGTAATGGATATGTAGACAAGTAGACAAGGAATAGAGAACAGGGAAGGCATAGCATGACCGTTCCTTTAGCCACCCTCTCAGCCTCCAGCAACCCACAGTAAGAGGACTTCTTGCAGCAAAGACTCCATCCAGACCACTATGTTTAATTGTCTGGTAACCCTTCCCATGTACTTGTGACTTACCCCGGTCAGCATCATAAATGTACACAAACTTCTGCCAGCTGTAGTGCTCGATGACACTGATGAGGGCATCCTGGAGCTCTGGGCGAAGCTGGAGAACAAACTGGTTGGATGTTTCGACAGGGAAGCTTGGTGTTATGAAGCAGACATGGAGAGCCCCGCAGAAAGATGTGAGCATGTTGACGGTCCTCCTTTCGTAAAATCCAAAGATGGCATAGACGCCCTTGGAGAACTGCGAGCAGACTGGGGGAGCAGAGAGAAAGGTCATGATGGCAGAAGGACAAGGAGGTTTCTTAGGGAAATCACCAAAATAAACCTTTTCCCTGACATAAGCTGCAGGCTCTCTGGACTAGATAATTTTCCCCGAGGCCTGTGGGTTGGTGAATAAAACCTGTGAAGGAAATGGCTTGTGGCCATCGGGTGCTCTGCCCTTGATCTCCACAGCTTTACTTTTGCTAGGCAGAAGTGACACAGAAGAATGAATTCAGTATCCCCAGGGCTCTGGTGAAGATTTTGCTGCTTCTGGGATAAAATGTGTTATCTGAACAAGGGAATTCCTCAGCAGAAAAGTATGGTGGCTCACCAAGCCCTGGTTCCTTGTGATGGCAGCTGTCTGGCCCATGGAGCTGTTTTATTAAGGTGGAGAAAGGCTGCAGTTAGACCTTGCTATTGCAGCCCCAGATGCATTCAAGGAGCAGGAGGAAAACATTTTCATGACAGCACAGCCCTTTGCAGCCAATGACTCCAGGAGCAAACCATGGGTTTGACTTCAGAAGTTGAGACCACATTGAGAGGGCATCTCAGCAAAGGTTCACCTAGGTTCAATGCAGTCGTAGCACAGCTACAGGGAGATTTGTCCTGGGGCATGAGCTGCTGGCACTGAGGTCAGAACCTCTGACACCAGGGGTGCATTGGTACCTGGGGACACCTGCGTGGCAATTTCTGGTTTCCTCACAAAGCCATGGTAGTGAAGGCTGTGGGCCCAGTGAGGTAGTGGTGGTGACCTGGGAGGTGTCCATGAGGAGTGCTCGCTGGGTTCTCTGGTAAATATTTGTGTCTGATCTCAGCAGCTGGCACTGTGCTGTGCAGGGAGGGCTTTCTCGGGTCGGAGCCCTTCTTTGGAGAGTACTTAATGAGATTGTGGGAGCTGCTGGAAAAATGCCTCAGGATCTCAGTGAGGCATAGAGAGTTCACACTCTGGGTTGTAAAACTTAACCCCTGAGACAGTCAGACTCATTTAATATCACCCCTGTTTATGGCACATCCCAAGTTACCATCAATAAATCTCCAAGCCGGAGGTGGTGGCAGTGACAGCGTTTTCCCTGTGTCAGAACTCCTGGCACTAGTGTCTCCTCCTGTTGTCACTCTGACTCTGAAGACCTTTGGTTCTGACATTTATACTGACTCAACACTTCACACATCACTTGCCAGCCCCGCCCCCCCCCCAACAGAGTGCAGGGTGAGAAGTTGGATGTGACATTTTGGGGTCCCCTGGCAAGCACTCTGCGCTGCTTGGGAATCCCTTGACCTGGTTTCTGCTGGTAGCCGCCAGTACAAAAGCTTCTGCATATGTGGCTGGAGACAGGCTCCTAAACATGAGCTTTCTGCATTCTTAGCTGGGCTCCATCCAAGCTCTGTCCCTTCAGCAGGGACCAGAAGTCATCCCCGACTGGCTGACAGCCATACTGGATAAGATTACCTTGTTCCTCACTGCTCTACTGCCAGTGTCAAATATTCAGAGAGAAGAGCAAGAAACCCTGCTTCCCACTGTGCAAAGCGAGTCCCCGCTCTTATCTCACCACCAAAATGAAGCAGCCAGATTTCTGAAGCGGCACAGAGTGTCGAGAGCTGACAACTGAATCTCATGACACTGGTGAGAACTTTTTCTTCCTCTTGGAGCTCAGCCCAGGTTTTGGGCAGCCCAGCCCAGCCCAGCAGTCTGTCCCCAAGGTCACCCATCCTCTTTTCACTGCTTAGCGTCCATGATCTCACATACCTTAGTACCCTCCTTCCCCAAGGGAATTTGTATTTCTGCAGGGCAGGGACTTCTTGCAAAGCCCGAACCACGATGAGAATAAACCCCTCTTCTCTTTATTTTCACGGCAGTGTCTCTCTTTGCAATCAGCAATTGCGTCTGTATCAGCTGGAGTCACTGCCCTCATCATGAGACTGACATACTCAGGAAGAAAAGTAGCAGATATGGATAGAAATAGTCTGAACATCATTTCCATGTGACTGGATCAGTGGGTCTAATGAACAGTGCGATCTACCATATGTGAGAGATCAGAACATGATCTCTGGAGACTCAGGCTTCAGACTCACTGAATTATTAAAGTGACATTCTTGGGGCAGCTGAACAATCCAGCACAATTAATAATCCAGACAATAAACTTAGCTGGCTTGTTTTGTTTTTAGGCAAGCCATGGCTTCCTTGAATTTTACTTTCTATTTGAAATGCATCTATTATTTTTTACATTTTTTTTTAACTCTGTGGCTCAGTCACACTCAGGCAGTCCTCCTACACTGTTCTGAGACACTCATCAATCCCAGCGTTTGAAACAGATTGCTCAAAAGACGACTGGGAGAACGAACAGTCTTTATCATTAGTAAGTTTGGAAAGAGCCGTAGCTCGTCTTGTGTTTTCAGACTAAGAGGGGCCATGGACAAAAAAAAGACTTGCTGAGGGTTATCACCCAAAGAACAGCAGAGAAACTGTTCTGACAATTAATCTGGAAAAATGAAAAGAGTGAGAACTGCAGCCACCTTTCTGGGACTGAACTTGGCATAATGCAAAAGCAGTGGCTGCAAAATTATTTAAATCTCAGGACTATTTTAAATTACAGATGTTCCAAACGAATTTACCCAGCAAAACTAAAAAGAAGTTACTTGCCATTTATTTAATATACCAAGAGATCACTGGAATGTCTTTATATTTGCTTTACTTGTTTTATTAAGCAAATTTATTAACAATTGTGTTCTTGTTTGATTGCTCTGCAACTTCCTAGTAACATACTATTAAGATTTGTAAACCTTAACAAAAGGAAGCAAATATTTTAAAATCTCTTTATTTTTCTAGCAGGGGAGGAAGCTTTTCAGTTCCTCAGCAGTCACTAGCCTCTGACTGATGCTTTTCTAAAAAGATTAAGAAACATAAAAGGAATAAAGATCATGCTGGAATGGAAGGTCCAAGATGGTGAGCTCTTCTGGTCAATTGGCTGGTGGTAACATCAGACTTTGCAAGCCTGGTGCCAGCTACCTGGTAATGGCCAGATGGCCACAACCTGGCTTTTCTTACAGAAGAGAGTTGCAGTCAAGCCAGTAATTAGCTCTAGCAGTTGAATTTGGACAGTTCAGCCTCTGAAGCTCCTTCCTGCAGGCGGGAAACTGGGTGAAATGCAACAGCATAAATGTTTGATATCCAAGGATGTAAGCATGAGTGAAGAGTGTTTACTTGGATGTAAATGCAGACATTCGTGACAGTTTGCATGTGTTATTCTTGCCCTCTGGGCTGCACAAAGGGAAGGAAGAACAGAGAACATCTATTCCGGGCTATAACTATGCTATTATCATATGATAAATTTGTAATTAATTACAGAATAGTTTTCCTCTAAACAAGCCCTCAGAAAATACAGTTCATGATGATTGATAACCATGGCAACTACTGCCATATTCACCCTGATCAGTCTTGTATAATTGATCAGGTTGGGACTTCTGGCTGGGACACTCCCAGTGTGTGCTGCACCAGGCACCAAGGACATCCCATATCCCTCCTTGCCAGGCACTGGATCCCCCACTGAGGCTCCCTAGTGCCATTCCATGAACAAAATTAGGTAAAAGCAGAGGCAATAACTTGAATGTCACCCAGTTACGCTGGAAAGACAACTCAGAAACAACCATTTGCTCTTTGGACACAACTCCGCAGCGCTTGCTGCAGCCAGGTGAGGTGAGAGCTCCTCAGACTGTTCTAAAAACACTTCTAACTTACAGTAAAAATCAAAATAGCTTTCTAAGTTAGTTAAAAAGTGAGTGATGTGGTAAAGCAAGCAGGAGGAGGCCTCCCCTCTCCCTCTGTGGAAAAGTAGCCATCGTGGAGCTGGTGTGTCCTTGAATTCAGATGAAGAAAAAGCATGCGTGCTTCACTCACGCTTGAAATCCCCAGAGACTACAATTTCTAGTCCTGCAATTTATCTCAAGTTTCTCTTTTCATATGGAAATATTCCAGGTAAAGCATGTAAATCAGAGAGAGGAAACACTGATTTTATTGAAAGCACACACAGGATAGGACACCTACTTGACCGCTGAAGAAAGGCAGTTCTGGCTACATTTGCAAATGTTTCCAAGAAAAAGAAAAATACATGCCCACAACTTTAAATTCCCCATTTTCTCTGCAGAAGAGGAAAGAAAAAGAGATTTTTTTGAGTCTATAAAAATTTCTACTACACTTTTTTTGGCTAAAGCTCTCAATCAGACACAGAGACTGATTTCTGCATTTAGGAGGGCCAGAGATATTTTGGAACTGGAGGTTTGATCTGATCCATGTGAAAGGCAGATGTCAGATATAACAGATATCTCATTTGGATTTTGGTAAAAGCAGAAGGGAAACCAAAAAGTTGCTCTCCGAAATGGTCACTACAAAGAGGGTCTGAAACAGTCCCGGCATTTGAGGGAGGAGAAAGTGCAAATGGGCTGCACAGAAGGATGCAAATAAGGTTTTCATCTCCAGGAGCAAAAATGGTGCAGTTCTGCTGAGAATCTGCAAACAGGACTGCAAAAAGGGAACTGCTCCCCATGGACACAGCTGGAGAAGAAGCCTGGTAGGAGATGCTGGCAACTGCTCATCTGCAATTGCCTTTAGAAGCAGAATTTTCACCATTTCATTGAGTTTAAGACTAGAAAGGGACATTAGATCATTTCTACTGACTTTTTGTATCTCATGGACCATTAAGTTTCACCCAGCTACCCCTGGAGGGAGCCAATAATATGGTTTCGTTGACTCTTGGGAGACTCAACTGCTGCATGCCTCTGTCAGAGAACAGACGTACCAGAGACAGTGCTAATACTCAAAGCCACAAGAGCAGTAAAAAACCTGATTAAACGAAATATCCCCAGATGTTCCCCACAAATGACTCATGTTCTCTGTTGCAGAAGGAGACGAAAAACCCAGATGGTCCCTGCCAGATCTGAGAGGCCTTCCCGACCGTGGAGGATATTCATATCTGAGATGTATCCAGGAGGGAAGACAC